GACTGGCACGGGGGAGATAGCCCCTCTTTCAGTAGAGCATCTGGTGGATCTGAACAGCGCACCTTCAGGATTGCAGTGCAGCTCCCTGCCACCAGGCCACCAGAGCTCCATGACTTCCTTTTTTATGAGGTTATACGTAGTGTAGGGCAAGTCCTAAAACAAATCACTTCTGAGTGTTGACGGACCTGACTAGGCATAGACACACAACTGAGGGAAGACAGATGCCGTGGAACAGCAAGGATGCCAAGGACTGAGGGCAGTCCTCAGGAATTAAGAAAGAGACAGACCCATAGAAGGAACTGACATGATTGAGACGGATTTGGACACTTAGCCTCCAGAACTGTGAGAAAATAAATTACTCTTCCTTGTAGCCACCCACTTGTGGTTTGTATTGTTACAGCAGCATGAGGTAGCTAAGATAACAGGTTTAGCCATTAATGGTAGTACTCTTTGAGCTTTGACAACTGTGTTCAAGTCCATGAGGAGCTGAAGCTACATCAGAAAGGTAGCTGTTCTTTTATTTGATGGCCAGAGGACAGAATGTAGAACTAAGGAAGAGGAACCAGAGATGGGTGACAGGGATCCTGGTAAGCTGAACTGCCATCAACAGGAGAGGTACTCTAAGCATTTCTCATCTTGATCTTTGTTTTGGTCCTAGCCAACTCTCAATAGCTTCATGGGCCTGGGACAGGCGGCCTGGAAGGAGGCAAGAGCTACATTGCAGAGCTTGCTGTCTGCCAGCCAAGCCAGGCTCAGAGATGACACGGAGCTTCGCAAACGGTGAGGGGCTTGTGGGGACTGGGCACAACAGGGTCAGTGAGAACACTATGGTAGTCAGTGCTGCTCTGAGTCTTGGCTTGTGGAATCAGCTCCGCCTGCATCCAGCTCCTGTGTGGGCTTCAGGTTGCCAGTGGACAGACTGACTTCTCCATGTCTCATGGACCAGGTCAGGGCCTCTGGCCACTGTACCTCTTCAGACATCAGCTGGGCCCTTGACTGGTTTCCAGAATGTAACTAAAGGTAGTACTTTTTCTAGCATGGTATGCAGAAATAGAGAAGAGGCAAGCAGCCTTGATTTTAGCGGGTGGATATTCCACATTGTGGCCTGGTTCAGCTAAGCTCTGACCACAGTCCAGCCTGGAATTGCCCACTAAGAATTTGGAGCAGGATTTGGGAGGTGTCTGGGCTGACCCTGCAGATGAGATACCAGGGCAGGGACCCCAATTCATCATCTGTTTGAACCTGAAGCCCCTGGCTCTGTGTTTCAGGGCTTTCACATCCCAAGCTTCCGCTACGATGCACCTTCCAGCCTCCATAGGTGAGTACTGTCTCTGTATTAAGACACTGGCGAGGCAGGTTCCGGGCTGAGAGGAAGTGTCTTTGTCCCTGCTGTCTGGCAGAGGGTGCACAAAGAGAAAGATCTCTCAGGTTGCTACCTCCTTTCATTAACTCAGGTTGTATCTCTCCCAGTAGGTTTGTAGACTGTTCAAATTTGTGGCTACACAGCTCTTTGCACAGTAAATTGTCCCCTTTCCCCAAGAGGCTATGAGGCAAGTGCTCCTGGCTCAACCTATGAGTCAGCAGTTTTGAAGAATGAGGTCAGAGAGCAGTGAAGGGCCTGACTTTAAGTACTTGGAGGGTGTCCAAGGGGAGTTTCATTCAGGAAATTGGAGTTGTCGACAACTGCCTTAGCCTGAAGCAGAGAGACAACTCATCTGTCTGAGGTAGAAGTTTCAGCCTTTCTTCCTGGTATACTGGCCTCAAAAGATCTTGCCTGTTGATGTATGCTCTAGCATACTGAGAAGTTGACAGTCTCCTCAGGAGCACCGGAGTCCCCTGCTGGTTCCCTTAGGACCTTGGACTCTGGCTTAACTCAGTGCTGCAGCTGCTGGTGTCCTAATACCCCTTCCAGCTACCAGGAGAAGGGCAGGCAAGAGCCCAGGGTGATCCTCCCTGAATCAGAGATAAGCACGTTATAATAATTTTCCAGACCTAAAGTTATTTTTTCCACGTACAGAAAGCTTTGTTGATTTATGAATGCAATATCCCTTTTTACTAACATCTAATTAAAATATTTTAACATATACATTCTTTGAACCTCCTTTAAGCTTATTTCTTTGGGTATCAATCAGTTCTTGTAAAGATTCAATGGGTGAGAATTTTCCTACATGTGTGGTTGACTGTGGCTTGTGCTCTTATCTTTATTTGTTGTCTGTCTGTGTATGTACTTTTTCCTGCAGCCAGTCTTCAGGAAGAGGGGCAGGACTTCTTCTTGGTGGCCTCTAAGTCCTTTCTGACTGTGAGCTACTTCTGAGTTTCTCCAGAGGCTTGTCAGTCTCCTGGGACATTTTGCTGTCTCTCAAGCATTACCTCAGCATTTCAGCATTGGTAAAGGCCTCTGCTGTCTGCTGTGTGAAAAAAAACGTTAGGTAAAGGCTCGAAGTGGAGACTGGGACTGACTCACTTGTACCCACTCAGCCGTTCATTTCTCCCACCACTCCTTTCATGCTCTTTTTTGGAGTGATTGTACTGTTGGCAAACTAGCTATTGGGAAGGGAGTTCTGTTGGCCTGGTAAGTAAGGAGTTGTGCTGCCAATCCAAAGGCAGATGGTTTGAATCAATAATTTGCATCATGGGAGAAAGAGGGGCAATTTCCTCACGTGCAATTTACAGCCTCTAAAAACCTGCTAGAGGGTCAGTGTTGAGTTGATTCTGACTCGATGGCAATGAGCTTGACCTATTGATAATCCAGTCTTCTCTCTTAGTTTATGGTTGGATAATGGAACATTTTGTTTGACTTTTTT